GGTACTTGTACCCTGGGAAATTTAGCTTTAGCCGCTAAAAATTTTACTTACGCTAATAGTTTAGCGTTTTTCGGACGGCTAAAAAAAAAAAAAAAAAATTTAAAAGTAAACAAAAACTCAAAAGAAGAAAGACACACAATAGGGTGTTAGTCTTCACGACACGGAGGTGTACATTCGTCGTAAACAATTGGGGTTAGTCTTCACCGGGTACTTCTTACCCACTACTGTCTAACTAGGTTAGTGGGACGGTTCATAAACTTTATGAAAAGCGTTTACCGAAAGCTGATCACAATTCCATTGTTGAGGTTCTACTCGAATAGATTTATACTGTGCAATTTTTCAAAATCACATTGGTTTCTCAAACAGCATCTCTGTAAACCACGTGTATTCACTGAATTTCACTCTCTGCCTTTAACGGCTCGTTGTAGCTCCAATAGCTCCAGCCCCCACCCTCCCTGTGAGCACAGTGTGCTCTGATTGGTCGGGACTTTGTGAATCGCGCTGAGCTCCGTGGAGGTGTGGTTTCCTTGTTTAGCGATACACAGCGAAACACAGCCAAACTCATCCTGAGCACACACAAAGTCACAGCCGAAGTAAAAACAATAAGTGTGGCTTGATATTGAGTAAGAAAAAGTTTGATAAACGCTGTGAGAATGGGTCTGCAGAGAGAATTTCGCCGCGATCCCAACTGTCTGTTATCAGCCTGCAGCCAGGGAGGAGAGATCAGCAGAGCTGCCTGCACTGAGTGTGTGTGTGAGGAAGTCCGTGGATTGGTCAATTTGGACCAATCAGCGGGGGCTTAACGTAACGGCTCCGCGGACGTAACGTAACGGCTCCACGGATTGGTCCATTTCGTTCCGGGTACGGTTGACATCATGCGGTACCCAGAAGAATCAATGGACAGTGACGTATCTCCAACGAGGCGTTTTGGGGAGGTATTTTCTGTGTTAGAGTTTTACTCGCTACAGGGTGTACTTTGAGGGTTTTGACTCTGCAGACCGTTTACATGCATAAAAACCTTCATAACACACAAGGGGACGGGTAATAACCAGAAAAGCATGACATGGGACCTTTAATATGGATTCTAATGCATTTTGGGGCACTATACATCTGAAAAGAAATACAGAAAACGCCATATTGTTACAGGATTAGAATAGTGTGGGAATCTCATGTGACTAATAAATGACCATTGAATATTTATTTTTAAAACGCATGATGCCTCCCCCACACAGCTTGATCTTACCACATGGCTTGTTGCTCAGTGGGAGTGCCATGCTCTCTTCCAAGTGAGTGAGGTATAGGATTATCTATTTAAGATATTACGCAGGGCATATATCACCCGGTGAGACTCTCAGAGATGAGTAAGAGCCACTGGTTTGTGTTGGCATAAAAACCAGGTGGTTGGTACGTTAATCGGGTCTATTTCGGGAAAGCCTTGCTGTAAAATGTGTCTGCTTTGAAATGGTGACTGGATTGTAAGAGATTTATGTCCCACTTTGTTTTCAGAGCCAAAGTCCTTATAATACTGTTTATAAATATAGTTGAGCTTTGGACAATGGGCCCTTCTCAGTGGCACTTGTTAATTTAAAGGAGGAAGGTTGAAAAGGCCCTATTCTACTCATTTTCAGGTTCATATTTGTATTTTGTGCATCAACTGTGATGTGTTTACATACTTGTTTAATTAATTAATGTTTAATCCAAGAACACCGTTTATCAATAAGTTACTCATATTAACAGAACGCATCTATACGACAAGGCTTTCTGAAGAGGAAAAAAATCAAATCACATGCATTTGAGGGCCACCGAAAGGAATCTCTTTTTCTAACAACAGTATTGTTTTAACCCGCTGCCCTTGAGATAGACAGATCGAGCTTTCAATAGTAGAACAAAGCTTTTCACCACAATTCCCCAGGCTATGATTACGGATAAGACATCCCTCAGGCAATTCCGAGTGAAGGGCAGATGATGAATAGAAACTTAGCATGTGGTCTAACTACGGGCCAACTAATTGGTTACAAAGCCAGATAGAAAAGCCTGCCTTCTTTG